ATTTGTCTTTAGCTTTTAACTCTTGAATGGTTAGTTTAATTTGATTAATCTTATTTTGTAAATCTTGTAAAGTGATTTCATTATGTTTATTTTTTCGGAATCTTTCTAAAGTAGTTGTGAGACTAATAATTGGTTTATCTTGATGCTATTTTTTATCTTTATTTATTAGTAAAGATTTTAACTTATTAGTGTATTTTCTTTTTAATTCAAGATTTTCTAATTTACTAATTAATTCTTAAGTTTTTCTTTAACTTTACATTTACTAGAATAATGACTTTTTTTCACAATTGTAACAAGTAACATCTTGGGTAGATTTTGACTTCTTAAAGTGATTAGTTTGCTTGTGATATTTCTTTTTTGGTTTAGCATAATACTTATCAGGTGATTTGATAGGTGAATATTTCTTCTTATATTTAGCAGGGTATTTGTGTGAAGATCTCTTGTTATTATGTTTGTGTCATGATGGTGCAACAGGAGGTAGACCATATTGTTCGCAGAAATTTCCTAATTTGTATTTAGCTTTGTGTTTATTCTTAGCAACTTTTTGACTAAGTTTCATGTCTATGCACATTTTTAATCCTTCTTTTTGAATGGTACTAATTATATCACCATAAATTAAATTATCATATTCTATAATACCAGTAGGTTGACTAAGAACGTGTCGAATTTTATGGGCAAAAAGATTGGGTAATCCATTAATGAATTTTTCTTTCCAAAATGACTTAGTACAATCATCTCTAAGCATGACTCGAAAGGTAAAAACATCTTTATACCATCGAAAATCGCTTAAAGTAGGGCAAGTTAAATTACTAAGCCAATCATGGATGTGAGAATAGACATTAGAAGATGTGCCAATTAAATGTTTGACTATAGTAAATATTAAAGTATTAATACCATCAGGTTTACTTGATCCTATATCTTCATCAAAGATTGAGATATTATTTTCTTCTAATTGGATTGCATGTTGTATAGATTCACGTAGATCTGAAGTGAGATATTTATCCCACCAAGATTTGAGCATATCAGTAAAACCAGAGGCAAGTAAAGAAACTATTTCAGGTTGAGTGTAATCAGGATAATTACTAAGTAATTATTTGCAACCATAGACATATGATTTAATTTTTGAAGAATTTGATTTTTACTAAGATCATCTATATTCCATTCATATAATTTTTTAGCCGAAACAAAAAATTGATTGTTAATATTTGTTTCTTCGAATTGAAGATCGGGAGATGTAGGTTTAAGATACCAATTTTTTGTAAGAGTGGTAGGATTAACTTTGGGATGTGTGATTCGGTTAAGATTAGTAGTCTGGAATTGTTGGGTTAATTTATCAATTTCATTTGTGGATGTGTCGGAGTCACTACTAAATTCAACAGGTGGTTGTTGTGTTAGGATAGTAATTCCTTTTTCATTAGATGTAGTAGATATCTTAGTAAATAATTGTTCAATAACTTCAACAGTATTAGTGTCTTGGGTAACTAGGCTTAATCGTTTTCTAGTACTAAGAAGATTAATAAGAGGTTTGTCTAAAGGTTTACTAGTGGATGCATGACTAGTGGAGTAATCCTCAAAAGAAGTTTTTATTTTATCTAATTGTTTACCAATAGGTTTTAAATATTGATTGGTACAATTATTTTCTTCAATTACTTTTTTGATTTCAGATTCATCACCAGGAAGTTTAAAGGGAGAAGCTTGTACAATAGCACCTTAATGTTCAATGAGAATAGTTTCTAGAGGGGGATGACTGGAAGAAACAAAAGTATCAGGGGAAGCTTTCCATTTAGTTTTTGTAATAGTTTTTTCTTTTGATAATAATTTTCAAGATAATCAAAGAAGTGAATTTCAGTATTTACTTCCTGCATAAATTTATACCATTTCTTGGTAATCTTGGATTGTTGGTTTTCATTATAATTATTTCTATAGGTTTGTCGTTTAAATTTATTGGCTTTAGATTTAAATTCAGTATGGAGTTTTATTAAGACCTGGAGTAAAAGGTTTACTAAGAGTTAATAATTATGGGTTAACAGGAGGAACAACTTCAAAATAAGTCTGAGTAGGTGAATTCTGAGATGTGGTTTCATCTTCACAGAGATGTGTGTGAGTTGAATAAACTGGTTTACTAATTTGAGAAGTAGAAGAATTATCTATTCCTTTTAATTTACTATCTGAATGTTCACAAAGATGAAGTTTCCTATCTTTGCGAGTAAATAAAGGTGTATTAAATATTTCATCATCTTCTAAGTCAGTGGGGATACTAGAAGTACTATGTCGGGATGAGTGACTAGGAAGGCGATTAAAGCGTATATGAACTGAACCATTATTAAATTGTTGAATAGTTTGAATATCTTGACTAGTAGAAGATTGTTGATTTTGGAAATAATTTTCATTAACTGTAACCTAGTCTTCAGGAAGAGTAATATCGTTCCAACAAATCATTTTGGGGACTGAAATATTAGTTTCATTTGTATTACCTCGAATAAGTAATGTTTTATCTTTTGGACTTTTATTTAAAGCTTGAACGTTGAAATTAGTTTTAATACAATTATAATAAATGCGATAACTCAAAGCAATATTATGAACATTATCTAACATATTGGTGAATGCGCCAGACAATTGAATATTTAATGTTAATGCTTTTAATATATGAGGATCTCTAAGACTTAAAGTAAAATCGGGAAAACAATTAAAGTGAACAAGCCCTTTATGAAGGCTTGATTCCATCATACCCATTAGGTTATCATGATAATAATAAATCGTGCATCTTTTCAACATAAAAGAACAGAAGTATTTTTACCTTGTTGAGTTAATGGTTTGATTCCAACTTGAATTAATCCTAGATGAATAAAGTTATGACCATCTTTGATATGTTTTCTAATTAACTCTTTGGATAATAATTGGCAAGTTTCTCTAATTTTAGTTAAAGGATAAACTTGTTCAACAGTTTTGACCTGTAAATCTACATTAAATGTTGATTTTAAAAAACTGGTTTAGTAGATTTCTTTAATCCTTACTCTAGAGATATTCCAACTTAAATCAATTTTAACATCTTGAAATTCATGTTCTTCGTTAATAAAGTGAATCGTTATCAAGTATAAGAGCTAATGTTGTAGATCTAGAGCTAACTGAAGAGTTGCTTCTGAATAATCGACTCATATTTCTAAATTTATAAAAGATTGTAAGAAATCTAAATTCTGGGTTGACTTACCATATTTTCACATACAATGTGTTCACTCATACCCTTTCTGAAAATCCCTATTTCCGTTAACTGCCTAAACCTAAGGACTTACACAGGATGCGAGACGAAAGGTGGGTGGCTACTGACAGAGTGGAAAAGAGATTATAAGGTTAAACAGAATAAAGATGACTAGAATCAATTACGAAGATAGATTAGGGACGACCGAATCAGAAACAACAATATCAACCTGACTTTGATACCAAAAGAGGCAGAAGCAACACAATATTAAATTATATAAATAATATTTTTTTTTTAAATATTTTCATTTAAATAATATTAAAAAAATTATCTAGCCGAGCCAAGCTCAAGTTTTATTAATATTAACGAGCCGAGCCGAGCCGAGCCGAGCCGAGCTCAAGCCCAGTTCCTTATCGAGCTCGAGCTCGAGCTCAGCAAAGCTCTGCTCAGCTCGGTTCGTTTGCAACCCTAATCAGAGTACGTAGTATCGCTTTCAGACGCCCAACTGACACCTTGTCTAAGGGTTCATAAACATCTCCAAGCAAGGTTACAAGCATGAATCCTTAATCTTCTCTAATCTCTACAACCCCACCTTTTTACGAGTAATTATTTAGTCTTGCAGGAATTCCACTGTGGTGGTGTGCCCACCCAATAACAAGGCATTATGCACTTACATGGCCAGAACAAATAAGAACAATATGAGAAAATTACAAAACACTATTGGTTGGACGAACAACCACATCATGCTCCGGGAACACTGGATAATTTCTGCCTTTTTAGGGATCAACACCACAAAAGAGCATTCAAGCTCCTAAAACTCCTTGTCTCATGGAAATATGTGAAAAGCCCTAACACATCTTCTCTAACTACCTCCCAACAATGCTACCCAAAAAAATAAATAAATAAATAAAATAAAATAAGAGCTACAGTCAACTCATCAAGACTAGGGGCTTTGTTTCCTTTAAAGAGTTTAAGGTCATGACAATCTAAGGGCACTCAAGATAGGTTCTCCCCTAATCAGAAATGTGAATGAACTCCATTCCTACCAAGCTAGGTCTTCAACACTAAGAATATTATAAGAGAAACTCATAAAACCCTACAATACCACTCCTAACGACGGTTGCCTTTGAAATTACAGATTCTCCTTTTGCTACAGATGAAGATTTGGATCAACTATTGGTAAAGCAGTCATACTTCTTTCACCTTGGAGAACTTTATTTAGCAGCTCTTTCTAGAGCCTCCAACCAGGGAGACTTTTAGGACACCAGTTGTTGTTAGGGACTTTTAGGACACAAGTTGCTAGGGATTTTTGTTGTACTTTGTTTGGCAATCCCGTTCGAAAAACACCTTTTTGATGTTATTGCTTTCGACATTATTTATTCAATTATCCTAAGCTCAGAACTACTTAAAATACAAAGAATAAAATAATTTCCAACAAATTAGTTCTTGTCGAAGAATTTGGTCTACATTATTAAATCAAATAATTTTGTCTACATAAAATAATCTTATCTACATTATTAAATTTTCAAGAATTTTTTCATAATAAGAGTTTAACTAATTGCAAGAAAATTTACTTCAAATCACTTGTGCTAAGAAAATAAAAGGTGTTAGTTTTGGTGACATCCTGGATCCAGTACTGCAATTACAAAAAATGAGATGCATGCGATTTGTATTAAGTGAGACAGGTGCATTTACTGGTTCTAGTTCCTTTTTCTTTTCTTTTCTTTTGCTTCATTTTACTCAATTTCAATAAATTGTAATAAACTAAAAGAAACATAAGAAAATTGGACCCAGATAGGTATACCAGCCTTAGCTCCGAAAAATCAGCAATGAATGCATCCTCCCACTGTTTCAGTGGCAACAAGTGCTCCGGGCACTTTGCAATATCAGGTATCTTAGGCATATAAACAGTCTGTTCTTTGCTCAATTTGCTTGTTTCAAGCTTGGAAACCTTCACTTTGGGAATTTGTGCTGCTTCCCACCTAAGCAAAAGAAAGACTTCATAAGTTGCACCTGAATTAAAGGTTTCTGACCTTTACAAAATGACACAGCTCGAGAACCTGCATTAATCTCCCATATGGCCGAAAAGTATACATATATACACATACATTCATATACATATGCACATATTTACGTATATATATAACTCAAAGCTACTTTAACTTGTCACACGATAATTATAAAGGGCTGCTATTTACCCCTACCTTATTTCTTTGGAACCCCCCATTTCTTCACTTAATTGAGTGCCTCCCATTTTCTCTTTGAACCCCCACCTTAATCCCAATTATACCCCTCTTCTTTGAACCTCTCAAAACCCTAACCCTCAACCACTAAAGGTCCGGTGGTGCACTCCGACGACTCTCCTGGGCTCATTCTGCCACCATTCGCCACTGCCCAATCCCCCAACCTTCCTTTGACCCTTGTCCACCACCCCGCCATTTATCAGCCCATTCTCACCCACCACCGGCATAGCCCAGCCCCATCTCGACCTGCTCTCTCTCTCTCTCTCTCTCTCTCTCTCTCTCTCTGTGACCTTCCGTTCGGCGATCTCTCTCCCTTTGTCCTTTCTCCACTGCATCGCCACCCTCAACCCGTCCCCAACCACCACCGTCAGCACCCATCGCCATCTCCACCCAACATCATCTCTCTCTCTCTCTCTGCAATCACAACATCAGCTAGGGTAGAGATCGCGATTGTGACATTATACCAAGAACACCGTTATCACCCATCGCGATTGAAGCCTTCGTTGTTGCTGATACAGCAAGTTCGAACCCAAAATCTGCGAAGAACACCAGTTGTGATTTGAAGACCCATCACGAGTACATCGCAAGTCAAAGTAGTCTCGAAATTGCAGAACCCATTGATTTGCAGTTTCTAGGAATCATTGCGATCGCAACCTAGCTCCTTTGATTCAAGTTCGCAACCCATTTGATTTCAGAAAAAATCCAGTTTCGAAAATCCAGATTCAACCTGGGTAGCTTTTCGACTTGCGATTTGAGTTTCTTCACTGTTCTTGGGTCAACTTCACAATTGAGGGAGGAGATGGATTGAGGTTGCACCAGAGGTGGAGAGTGGCTGTGGCCGGTGGAATTAGGATTAGGGTTATGGTTTGGGTTTGGAACATTAGGGTTAGAAGGTTAGGAATAAGGGTAGAATGGAATTTTATGCTTGGACAAGATTAGAATTAAAAAAAATGAAAGAGAGGGGGGTCCTAAACAAAAAGGTAGGGGTAAATAGCAGCCTTATAATTATATGCATAAAAATTTCTCCACCAAAACAGTTCATAAGATGATTACAATGGCAAATCAAAATCAATGATTGAATAAAAACCTCAGCAAGAATGGCCAGGAAAATTTCATTTTTTCTTGCCAATAATACCTCCCCTGAAAAGAAATAAAAGTACAATTGTCTTTTCTTTTTTATCAACAAAGACCCTTTTTTTTATTATTATCAATAAAATACTTTAGGAAACATAGCCTAAGGCACAATTAAATTGTGGTGGGTTTTGGTTGTGGACAGCTTCTAGCGTTAGGGCTCTAAGAGAAAGAAGAAAGTTTCTAGAATTTGGAGATGAAAAGGTGTGAGATTTGGTTTAATTTTCAAAAGTGGCAGCTTGCTGGATTTTCAGAACACAGGCTATTAAGGTCCTAAACTGTGAGTACTTTAGGGTTTTAATGGCTAGATTGAATGTCAATAGATAGGAGAATGGATCATTAGGGTTAGTTTGGGCGTGATTGGATAGAGTTGAGGTGGAAAAGTGAACTTTTTGAGTCAGTATGCTGCTGATCATTCATATTTTTTTGTTGTTTTAGAAGTTCAGGGTACTTCAGAAATTTCAACATTTGCTAAAGTGGGCCAGCAATGGTTCCATGGACCATGGGCATCATTCTGGGTAAGGTTATGCTAAAGAGTCTTTATATGTGCTCCTTAATAGGTCTAGAATGTTCCAAGTATTCAAAGGGTAAAAGTTTCCTTGTTCAAAGTAGTTGCCACTAGCCATATTTGAAATTTAAGAATAATAAAAATAAAATATGAATGGAGAAAGCATATAGTGGGAAACATGCGTGGGTGGAAAGATGGAACCAAAAAAGTATGAGTGGAAAAAAGTAAAGTGAGAAAAGAGGAGAGAGAGAGAGATTGAGTGGGTGCAGGAGTGGGTTAAAAAAATAAAAAGGAGGATGGATGAGACGGCTGCCAGGCTAGGAGATGATGATGTTTGTGTTAAAAAAAGAAGAGAAAAATAAAAAAAAATCAATTTTGTTGAAAGCAGCTTCTGGAATTTTGATGCACTGTTCCAGCCACAACAACATCCTGCCCGTGATTCTCATGATACGTTCTTCCTGCAAGTTCCTCCCACTACGAAGTTTCTTCCTGAAGATTATGTTGAGCGGGTGAAGCGTGTTCATTAGTTTGGTGGCTATGGGTCCAGGGGTTATGAATATGATTGGAAAAGGGAGGAGGCAAACAAAAATCTTCTGCGAACTCATACAACTGCTGTTTCCTCAAGGATGCTTACCGGCTTGCACAATAGATCGTGTTTTCAGAAATGAAGCTGTGGATCGAACTCCTCCACATCTCCAACACAGCCGATCGAAGTCTGATATGAAGCCCTAAATACATCATCACCATAAACCCTCCTTGCCACAGCAAAATCCCAAGAATTCTTGTTCAAATCGTAGCTGGGCTCGAACGTGGTCACCCCTTGATGCACATAACTATACTTCAATTTGCAATTCCCCGAACCAAGCACGTGATTCGCCGAAACCTTGTTCGCCGAATCGAACACCAACGTCCCGTCCAGTATCGTCCGGTTATCGCCTCTACTGTGAATGTAAGTCAAATTCAATGGTTTCTCTGCAACCCTAACTGTGTTCATAAACTGAAACCTAAAATCCTTTTTGGGGACGTTGTAGTCGATGATGAAGAAGATGGGTTTTTCAACGGCGAGGGCTAAGCCGTTTAAGCTGGGACCTTTGACGACAGTGGCGTCAGTCATGGAAGCTCGGAGCTTGAGGTCGCCGGCTTTGACGGCCACTGTTGCGGCGGCGGCGCGTTTGTCGGTGTCATACCTAGTCTTCAACGAAGCCTTCATTGCGTCACAAACCGGCTTGCCTGTGAGTGCTTGGGGGGCTTCTGTGTGAAAGATCTGAAACCAGAGAGAGAGATGTGTGTTTCAGTGAGGTGCCGAGAGGGAGAGAAATTATTTCTTTTGTAGTATTTTCAATTAAAAAATTGATTAATATTATTTTCTGTTAATAATAAATTTTTTTAATTGAATTTTAAAAAGAGTTTAGTTATGAGTGTTGATCAGAATTTTCAATAGTGTGAAAGTAGTGTGTTTTGTTATAAGTTATAACAATTTGAATTAAGTTTTGAAAACTATTTCCAAAACTCATAACCAAACAAATTTTCTTACTTCACATGTCAAATCAAACTTTCAAAACTCAATTACACGCTCAATTCAAAACTCAATTCAACATTCTATTCAAAAATCATAACCAAACAAATTTTCTACACTCAAATCATAATTTCAAAACATATAAATTCAAAACACAACTCATATTCTCAAATCATAATTAGAAAGTCTCACCAAACGGAGCCTACGGTATTTACAGAAAGACTCATTATCAACAAATTCATGAAGTTCATTGGTTTGTAGTACATGTACAGTCAACGCAACTGCAAGAAGCCAAATAAGCTAAAGAGGTGTCTTTGGTGACTACATAAGCTTTGCCATAACTAACACTGTGCTCTACATTTTTCTACAGTGTGTGAAACGTAGGAACAAATTTAGTAGATTGTCACTTCATACTGAATAGATAATCCTCGGTATAATTTTTTGTGGCACATTTTCTTTTTATACAATGTGAGACATGTAAGAGATAAATTTTGAGCTATACTTTGTCATACAAAGACAAATCCTAAAGACCACAAATATAAAATTTTCAGGAAGTATTCCGTTTTTGAGATTTAAATACAACAAAAAGCCAGCCTAGATCAACTAAAAGAAAGTTTAAAGGAAAAATGTTACAACTTTTTCAGATTATCAGATTTCGAGATTTAGAGCTCAACACCACATAAGCCTCAATTCACAAAAGCAAGCAAACAAGGAAACAAAGGCCTTGTTTGTTTTGTCTCTTGAGAGACAATTTTTGAGAAAAAATTTCAAAATTTTGTTTGGCTGAAAATTTTTGAAAAAAAAAATTCAAAATCACTTCTCTCCCCACTACACATCAATATCTATTCAATTACAAAAAAAAATAAATAAATTTAAAGCATCCCAAACTCCAAAACTATTTTCAAAACATACAACCAAACAAATTTTCAAATATTGTAAACTCTTTCCAGAAAATTATTTTTCAAAATTGTTTCACAAATACAAACCAAACATGGCCAAAATCCTCAACAGTGCAGAATAATTAACTCCCGAATTCTAAATGTTAAAAGGAACAAAAAGATTTGTGGCATGGAGTGATACCTTACGCGCCTAAGATATTCCAACCCATCTTGGGGAGGTCCAGAATTAAAATTGGGTTTTCCTGTAACCAAAAAGGCAGGTCTTTGAATGCTACTGTAATCGTCATCGCTGTCATCTTCCTCGCTGCATTCTCCCTCTAAAATTAAGTAGTCTTCACCACAAGAAGGATCCAAGGGGATCATGTTCTCAGTTTCATTATTCATGACTTGAAAACAATCTTCACCTGAAAGGATCAAGACATTAGATACAGAAGTTAGATACAGAAGTTCTGTCAGCTTGAAAACCTGAAGCTATCACCCTACCAGAAATATTTTGTAAATAAACACCATGCAGGAAGTCCAAGCAATCAAAAGTTATGAAGGGCATCTCCTTTCATTCAAGTAACAAGAATGTGAACATTGAATTTCATTAACAAGTTCCACTCTGTGTTTGTTTTCATGTACAATTGCACTTTACAAGACACTTCTCCAGAAATAGGCATGTAAATTACTGAACTGCAAGATATGGACATAGTGGGACTACATATAGCAAGAAAATGAATGTACAAGAACTGTAAACAGGTAACATATACAACTTGACCTATAATGCGCCTATATATACAAACAAGGGATATATTTGGGTATGGTGCACATAAAGACTTTTGCATTCCTTTATGTCATTCTTCAGTGCACAAAGATTTTCAAATGGTTCCCTCTTCCCATTCCAGCCACCAAACCTGTGCACAAACAAATTGACCCATCAAATTGACACTAATAACCAAACACCCAAGAGAGAAAGTATTGAGAAAATCATAGAGACTCTCCAAAATCTGTAAGTAACTTCGTAGTACTTTCCAAAAAAAAAAAAAATGCTTCATGAGAAGCTCAGACGGATTGCTTCCCCCACCCCCAAACCCAAAAAAATATTAAAGGAAAAAGCCATAACCCAATCAAGAGAGCAGATACAAAAAATTAAAAAAAAATGAAAATTCATTTAGTTTGTTGTTTTCAAAAACCAAAAAGCACGGACATAGACACGAGACATAGCAATTTTCAAAAAATTAGAATAGACAAGGGAAAAAAATTTATCTTTCATATTTTTATTTACTATGTATATGAACATAAATATGAGAGGCGTCAATGTATATGTGGGTTTATTCTTTTTTATTTTTAGTTTTAGTTTTTCCCTCTTTATTTCCAAATATTTTACTTTGACTCCAAATCAGCTTTCTTAAATTATGTATAAATAAACAAATAAAACCTACAATGGTATCCTCAGGCGTGTTCAAACATAGGGTGCGCATGTCTATGAATTGTCACCAATGTGACCTCAAAAAAATAATTTAAAAAATTGGCACGCTACATGGCGTGTCAAACACGCATGTCCCTACTGTGTCAGTGTCCAACTCATATCGAACACAAACATAGGACCCATCTTTGAGTTGGTGCTTCTTAGTCAAAACACAATTTTCAAAAGATTAAAAAAAAAAAATTAGAAAACTCCAAATCACATCATTATAAAAAATAAAATAAATAAATATTAACGATATTTAGAAAAATATGTTTTTGAGAACTACTTTCTAAAAACAATGCCAACTAGGCCCTAATTTCATGGTTTCAAGTACGAACTAAGAAGCACGGACACTGCTATGAAGGAGGCATGCCATATCAAGCACCCATGTCGGACATGACACCACGAACACTCCTAAAAGCGAGTCTAAAACTTCTTTAACGTGTTTTAATTAAAAAATTTAATTCATACTATCAAACATATCGACGACACTTTAGTAGCAACAATGCTTTTTGTTCTTCGGAATGCAACTTATTAAGAAGCACGGACACTGCCATGAAGGAGGCATGCCATATCAAGCACCCATGTCGGACATGACACCACCAACACTCCTAAAGGCGAGTCGAACACTTCTTTAACGTGTTTTAATTAAAAATTTTAATTCATAATATCAAACACTTCTTGTACACATCGATGACACTTTCATAGTAACAATGATTTGCATTCTTCACAATGCAACTTATGACACTATGGGTGTGTTTGGTTTGTGTTTTGAAACATGTTTTTGGAAGAAAATTTCCAAAAACTTGTTTGGTTACAAATTTTCTCAAAAAAAATTCCAAAATTACCTCTCTCTATTACACATCAATCAATCATTTTTTCTCTCTTCTCTCTCCTTCTCAATCACCTTTTTTCTCACACATACCTACTCAACTACAACAAAATATCAAATCTTCCCAAACTCCCAAACTATTTTCAAAATATACAACCAAACAAACCAAAAAAAATTTTAAACTCTCCTCAAAAAAAAAATTTGAAAATTTATCTCAAAACACAGACCAAACACACTCTATATGAACACCCCTAAAAATGTGTTTTGACACTTCTTTAACGTGTTTTAATTAAAAAATTTAATTCATACTATCAAACATATCGACGACACTTCAGTAGCAACAATGCTTTTTGTTCTTCGGAATGCAACTTATGGACTCTAAATATGTTTTGAAACATGTATAATATGAATACATTATGTGTATTTCAATGCTCTATGATTATTTTGCATTTTTTATAATGCAATTGTCTTGATATTTAAATTAAGGAATACATGGTTTTTTAATTTAAATTAGTGTTATGTTACTTTTTTTTTTTCATTACCATTGAATAAACTACTTATATATTTGACAAATAATAAATTTATTAACATATAAATTTTTAATGTGTCCCAAGCATAGCGTGTCCTTTATTTTTTAAAAATTGTCATGTCAGTGTGTCGCTTGTCATGTCGCGTATCTATGAACTCAGGTATAGAGAGTACACGTCTCTATCTTTGGCTAGCTGAATTTTTTTAACCAACAAAAATCCATAACAATTAAAATGCAAGAGGCATCAAATTTAAAAATAGGCATAGCCAACACAAAAACCCGCATTGGTACATGTCAATGGAGGTTTACTTGATCATGCACTTGGTCAATTAAATTAACCAACGGCATCTACTAGAAATTTGGTACTGCACTATGAGAATCATTCTTCTGAAAGCATTTACATTTCATTCCTTTGGGGCAAAATGTAGTTTTAAACTCATCCAAAAAGCACAAGTAGTGCCAAATTTAATGACAAGGCTCAATTTTTTAAATGTTCCTCTACATATCTTTATAGCATAATTCATAATTCAATCTGAAATTTCCAAATCATTCATAATGACCAACGCTGAACCCAGGATGAATTGCTACCTTGACCAGAGAAGCAGTACTGTACTGGTAAACTTCTAGCCTAGATTTTAAAAGCATGTAAGAGAGAGAGAGAGAGAGAGAGAGAGAGAGAGAGATCAACAAAAACAAGTAAACTATTATACTGGTAATCTTCTTCATCCAATGTCCACAGGTGACAGTGAATAAGGAACCTTCTACAAAACCTACTATGGAGGTCAATTTAACAAAGCTCAAGCAACCCTTGAAAGCAAGGTTTGACAATAGCAGCCACTATAACGGTATCGGTGGCATGGTTTTGGGATGTAACAGACATAGCGTAACGAAATCGACTACTAGAGCCGAGATGTTCTTATTTTTTATTTAATTGCATAACTTCTCCAAATGGTTTGATGATAGTAGCCACTATAACGGTATCAGTGGCATGGTTTCGGGATGTAACAGACATAGCGTAACGAAATCGACTACTAGAGCCAAGATGTTCTTATTTTTTATTTAATTGCATAACTTCTCCAAATAATAACTATACGTTTTGTCTCAACTCTACGGTCACATAAATTTTGAACTTCTAAAAAATTTTATGAACCTTACCTTATGAATCTAATTTAATATGACTAATAACTTTTTAGTTATAGCTAAATCACTATCAATAAGTTATATTATTATCTTTACCCTCCAGTTGGCTTTATGCACATCTGAACCACACACACAAAAAAAAAAGAAAAAAAAGAAAAAAAGAAAGAAAAGGGAAAGAAATAAAAAAGAATCTAATGGAAATATTCAACCTAAAAAGCGATTGAGAGGCAAAGGGGGATCTATTGCTATAGTAGGTTTGCAAAAGTATAGAGGGCATCAAAATTTTGGGCCTGACCAATGTTGTTTATCTTTTGACTAGGGCCAAGTTGTAGCATGGGTTTTATTCCCTCTTCAACCATTATTTTTTTTTCTAGAACAAAAAATAAAAATTAAAGATAAAGCCCAATAGGTTAAATGGGACTTGATTGACCCAAAGTTTTGTTCCCAAAGTAACGAAATCCAAACATGTTTCATCGAGAAGAAAGCTCATCCAATCAACCCACTCCATGAAGACTAGGTCAATCACATAAAACCCTAATTTGGTTCTTTTCCAAGTCAAACGAGGGCACAATCTAAGTTTCGTGTGAGGCTGCTATCTAAGTCCCATTCTAACAACATCAAAGCATTGAGACAAATTACAAGCTTAGTAAGGTCAGATTCCCCTTAATTTCTCTTCTTCCACCTCCTTATCCTCCTTCATTTCTTATTTTTCTTCCTAATTCTTTATTGCTCTTCTCCTTAATCTTCCTATTCTTTCTCCTCCCCAACTCTTCCTCTAAAATATATAAATTTATAACCTAATACTTAGCTGTAGCAAGGTGTAACAGCAGCATAGCGGGCCTTTTTACAGTTATTAATCCATTGTTGTGCACAGCAACATCTCTTGTAGCAACCATGAAATCCTTTAGTACCTACCACTAAAGCAGAGTGTATCAGAATTGCCTAGTTGCAGCCGCTTTTTAAAACAATACTTAAAAGTGATTAGAGGTTGTTTCAGTTAACAACATGCTAACAGTATCATAACTTTCCAAGAAGGGAAAAGGAAAACACAAAGTTCACTAGAGCAAATTGTATGATGGCTTCCTTTACTTCGAAATAACTCAATATATGTTAGAATATAATATGTAAAATGTTGCTTTAATAATTAGGTTAGTATAATAATTAGTATGCTTTAATAATGTACCTTTAATAATATTGTGCTTCTACTTTCGGTTTGTAATTGTTCTCCCTCTCCTCTATAAAGGAGAGAGCTCAACACACCATAAGATACATCAATCAATAATATCAATCATCAATACATATTTCATTCTCTCTATTTTTCCATACATCAAATTTAACAATATACACATAATATACATATATATATATATATATATATAGTACATACCACCTTAGAAATCCGGTGTGAGAATCTAGATAATTACAGAAGTTCAAGCTGTTCATGTGTCCTAGAGTACAAGCTAGAAACTCGACCAACTGTGCATTGTGGTCAAGAAACAGTTATCCACCCACAATTTAGGAGAGGTCTATAATCCTGAATCTGATATATCAAACACAAATGGGATGTGATACCGCTTAAAGAACCTTCTAGAGTGGTAAAGAAATTCTGAACAGCTCAAAGGAGAAACTCCAAGCACTTCCTCTTACCTAAAGAAAGTAAAACAGTCGCATTCTCAGCCCTGCAACACGATTTATCTAAATCACCTCAACTTATAATAAGAAGTTGCCAATGTCTAATATCCTATATTTAGCGTGTGTAGCGTATAAAGATCAATGTATAGTAAAACCTAATCAATTGAAAGCATACCATCTTATTGGTCAACAAATTAACTTCAATCCTGATGAACCAACAAGTGCCAAGAGTAAATATTATAAGACTAGAAAAATGATATTTTAGCTACACAATACAATGCTATGATACTGCAATTAAATGGTACAAGCTATCAATATTTTATACCTCTTGAATATTATGAAAATTTTAATACTTGGGGCATGAAACAAATAGGAAGTTCAAAATTTTACAAATTCTGGCGGGACCAATGATGTTGATAACAATTCAAACACAAACATATATGTAAAAACTTTAAGTCGAGCACAAACGTTAGGTAAAAAGAATACAGACCAAGAACCGCAGGGGTCTTTTTCTTCTTTCCGGATTGTTTCCGCGGATCAAAGTTAATTTGGATGTGCTTCTGACGATTACAAGCAATCAGACCATCATATTCCCCCGCCACAATGGGCGCAAGCCCACAGTATATCTCAATCCACTTTTTCTGCTGTGATTCTAGATTTACAAACCTCAGGGCCTCCACCTCCTCCCTTGAGTAGGCTCTTTTGGTTCCATCACCTTCCTTTTCCAAGCTATTTTGAGCTTTATCCATGTCAATCAGAATCTTTTCCTTCCCATTCGACCCCGACAGTTTTTCCGCACCTTTTCCCCTTCTTTGAGGGCGTTTCTCTTTCATTCCATCAGTTTTAGCAAAACCCACAAAACCCTTCTCATTTCCAATACCATTTTCTAGTTTAGAAGCACGAGTTGTGTCAATCACTGCTGTTTCATCAATTACTTCAATCTTTAAACTATCACTCTCAACCATTTTGTGCATTCTCTCAGAAACACTTGCCTTTTCATCAGTGTCTGTACTTTCCATACTTGAAAGCTTCCCATCAACCCGTGAAAAATGATCAAATTCATCTTCGATCTTGATAGAATCAACCATCCTTTCCCTTGCACTCTCAAAATCAGTGACCTTGGAAGCATGTGTAATAGCATTAGCAATTGATTCTACACCAAATTCTCGATTTCCAGAGAAACCCGCTTCACAGTTGTTCAATTCTTTCCCTTCTTCGCCCACCGAGTAAGAACCAGACTCGGCAACAGCACCATTTCCTTCAACACTCTCCATCTTCACAAAGATGTTATTCAGAAGCGAAAATGGGAGTGTTTCGCTCAGTATCCATTTTATACTCGCTCGCAGAAGAATCAATTTGATCTGGAGAAAGAGAGAAAGAGGTCGAGTGATGCTGTTGAACGGTTTGTCGAATTTCAGAGAGTTGGGATATTTTTCGATTGAACCCCTCTCTCTCTCTCTCTCTCTCTCTCATGATAAACCCTGCTCAGGGTGTACATGGGCCGGGCTTCGCGGGCTCGGACCAGAGTTATATTGTGCCTTCGCTTGGAAGTAAGTCCACGTTTTGATTTTTTTATTTTTTAATTAGTTTCAATCCCGTTTGCGGATAAATTGTGTTAATAATTTTTTATTTTATGACTAAAACAGGAAGTTAAAAAATTAATATATTTAGAATGATTTTTTAATTTTGTATAAAAAAGATGTACAAAAAATAGATAAAAAAAATATAATATTTGACTTTTTTGTATAAATTATTAGCTTTTTAGTTTTTTTAGTAATTTTTTCACTTTTAAATTAAAATATTAAGTTGTCAAATGAAGCCTTAGTTTGAGTTAAAAAGTCTCATTTGAGATAAGTTTTTTGATTTTTTTAACTTTTGTGAGAGAAAAAGTAAAATGATTATAGTTTAAATGTGACATTTTGTCTTATTGACTTTTGAACATATTTTATCTTTTTGTGACTATTTTAGCCTCAACCCATTATGCCAAGCATAGCCTATGCTTTCGTTTGCAAAGAGTTAATATTTTGATTTTTTAGCTAATTTAGCCTAGTGTAGACACTGTTGGAACAATCTTCTGTGTAAATAAAAAAAACTTGAAATAATTCAAACAAAATAAATAAATAACATACCAAATTTATTTCGTTGAACCGAATAAATAACTTAAGACCAAGTCGAGTGTGTGACACTCTGTCCTTAAGACAGATTCGCCCCGCTAAGGTGCTTACGGTTGAGTGGCGTCTATCTCCCAAGATACAATGATCTTCACAAATTGTAGTAACACTCAAAACAATTTGTTCGTTGAACCAAACCTTATGTTCTAATACTCTCTTTAATTTATCTTAAATCTAATATGAAGAATAAATAATGCGAAGAAGAAAATTGGACAGAAAAAGGACTTTTGCAGACTCACTTCATCAGATCGATTTCTTCAATCCTTGAGACTGTTGGAATAAGGCTCTATTTATAGGCCAACCCTGTGGTCCGAACAGGTATGAAAATGGTCAAGAGGTACTATAGCAATCCGAACAGGTGCACTTGTTTAAATCAAACAAATTTTAACCGTTGAGACCAACTTTTCAAACAATTGAAAATTGTTCCGTTAGTGGAACTGTTTGGAACTTTTATTTATTAATTAAACTATTTAAAATATATATATATATATATATAACTATTGAAATAGTTTAATAAATAAAGGAAGAGATACAAACTTTAGGAAACTATTTAGGAACCCAAAATTTGAATTTAGAATTAAATTGAATTCCCACAATAATTTTTTATTGAAAAAATTCAAAAGAATTTTATCTAAAAAAAATTAATGTTAGACCCGAAAACGAGGTCAACTTCCCATTCACTCATAAATGGTTTTTGACGTTCCGTCTGCACCTCTTCGGACCCACCCCAAACAAGGGTTTGATGCCTACCTGCAATTTTGGGCTCAAAAGTCGACCCAAATTATTGCCTTAGTAAAACACCATTTTTCCAAGCAATCCCCCACATGAATGGAATTGACGGAGAGAAAATGGCAACAACATGATCTAATTAACAGAGAGTACAGAATTGCAATATTCTGGCAAAAGGATAGGTAGCTTTATGGTCTTTGAACCTTCCCATTGTGCAGACACTATCGGATTTAACTTAGCTAACCAGTGAACATTGATGTCTTAAACTGTTCAGCCGTTTGTGTTAAACCAAGACAAATAGAACTCAACACATAGTATATTCCAGCAGACACAGTTTAGTTTGCTCACTATTGTGTTTCATTTGGCCCTGAACACCTGGTCTTTCTGAGTACTCTAAAAACTTTAGCCCTTCAACAAATCTTATATGAACCAAGCCGCAGTTCACACTCACAATAGGTTGATGTCTTATGAGAGAGTATCCTGCCATACTCCATTAGGTTTACCTAGATATAAGAATCATTAAAATTTTACTTAACCTCAAACGCTGCAGACATCACTTATTTTATCATAGAAATGGGTAGGAGTTGGACTCCACAGTGATCCTTCTGAGTCAATCACAACTCGGTTGTCCCTTTGAACCTAGATCTTGGGATCTCCAGTCAACTAGGTTGGGTTGCCGTTGTGGTAACTCTTATTTAATAGGCTTAAGTCCCATTCCCCTCGATGAATTCTCAACTAACTCTCTTGCTAACCCTTTGGTTAGTGGATCCGCTATGTTGTCTTTAGACTTAACATATTCTATGGAAATAATTCCATTAGAGAGTAGTTGTCTCACGGTGTTATGTCGATGACGAATGTGTCGTGACTTACCGTTATACATATGACTCTGTGCTCTACCTATAGCTGACTGACTATCGCAATGTATGCATATAGCTGGCACAGGTTTTGGCTAAATTGGAATATCTTCAAGAAAGTGGCGAAGCCATTCTGCTTCTTCCCCTGCTTTGTCTAAGGCTATGAATTCTGATTCCATAGTAGACCTAGCAATGCAAATCTGTTTGGAAGATTTTCAAGATACAACCACCCCACCAAGAGTAAAGACATACCCACTAGTGGATTTTGAGTCTTTAGTATCCGATATCCAATTTGCATCACAGTATCCTTCAAGTACTACTGGATATCTAGTATAATTAAGCCCAATGTTACGAGTAAATCGGAGATATCTTAGAACCCTTATCATTGCTTTCCAGTGTTCTACTCCCGGATTACTCGTATATCTACTTAATTTACTTACAGCATAAGCTATATCTGGGCGGGTGCAGTTCATCAAGTACATTAAGCTTCCAATAATTTGGGCATACTCTAATTGAGAAATACTTTTCTATACATTTTTAGAAAGATACAAATTAACATCTACAGGAGTTCTAGCAAGATGATCATCATCTTTGTTGAATTTGGCAAGTATTTTCTCAATGTAATCAGATTGTGACAAAGCATATCCTTCTGATGTTTTGATAATTTTCATACCAAGTATTACATCAGCAATGCCCATGTCTTTCATGTCAAAATGTTTATTCAACATTTTCTTGGTAGTTTTAATCATGTCAGTATTACTACCAATGATGAGCATATCATCTACATAAAGACATACAATGACATAACCTTTGTCTATGTTTTTAATATAAACACATTTGTCACACTCATTAATTTTAAATCCATTTGACATCATTGCATTGTCAAATTTCTCATGCCATTGCTTTGGCGTTTGTTTTAAACCATATAATGATTTAACCAATTTACACACTTTCTTTTCTTTCCCTGGAACATAAAACCCTTCTGGTTGTTCCATGCAAATTTCTTCATTTAACTCACCATTTAAGAAAGCGATTTTAACATCCATTTGATGAATTTCTAGATTATATAGAGATTCAATGGCAATTAGCATTCTAATGGATGTTCTTCTAGTAACTGGTGAGTATGTGTCAAAGTAATCTAGACCTTCTTTTTGTCTAAAACCTTTGACTACAAGTCTTGCCTTGTATTTGTCTATTGATCCATCCGCTTTCAATTTTCTTTTGAAAATCCACTTGTACCCAAGAGGTTTACAACTTGGTGGCAAGTCCACTAATTCCCAAGTGTGATTTTGCAAGATGGATTCAACTTCACTGTTGACAGCTTCTTTCCATAAAGGAGCTTAAGGACTGGACATAGCCTTTTTAAAAGTTAAATGCTCATTTTCTAACAAATATGTTAGAAAATCTGGACCAAAAGATTTTGAGGTTCTAGCACGTTTACTACGCCTAAGTTCTTCTTCCTCAATTTGCTCTAACTCTTGTTCTTGATCATATTCTTGATCGTTTCCTTGACTCATTACTAGTAACACGCATCAAAAAGATCTCTTATTCATTACTAGTCTCCTCTGTCCCGTCTTATTTGGACAATACATATGTTCAAAGAATGATGCATTCTGAGACTCAATAATAGTATTTTACATGCATTTCGGATATTCTAATTTATGAATCAAAACCGGTATGCACTACTATTCTTGGCATAACCAATGAAAATGCAATCAATGGTCTTAGACCTATCTTAGTCTTTTTAGGACTAGGAATAGCCACTTTAGCCAACACCCCCACACTTTTAAGTATTTGTAAGATGGTACTCTTCCATGCCACAATTCATAAGGTGTTTGATTCACTTTTTTTCGGGTATTTTATTTAAAATATAATTAGCAGAAAGTTTGCTTCCCCCCACAAGTTTGAGGTAAATCCAGAACTGATTAACGTTGGCATTCATCATTTTCTTTTAAAATCCTATTTTTCTTTCAGCAATTCCATTTTTGCTGAGGTGAGTAAGGAGCGGTGGTTTGAATGAATTATTCCATGTTCTTTACAAAAATTCACCAAAAGGTGATTCATATTCACCACCTCTATCACTTCTAAGTTTCTTGATTTTCTTACCAAGTTTGATTTTCAACTTCATTCTTATATGAATGAAAGTTTCAAAGCTCATCCTTGGTTCGAATTAAATAAAACATGAATATATCTGGTATAATCATCTATAAAAGTGATAAAATACTTTTCCCACCTCTAGTTTGAATGATTTAAATCACAAATGTCACATAGAATTAATTCAAGTGGTTCGTGGCTTCTTTCAATTGAATGAAAAGGAGTTTTAGATAATTTTGCCTCAACGCAAATTTCACATTTATAATTTGAATCAATTGTAAATTTGGTAAACATTCCATATTAATTAATCTACGCAAAGATCCATAATTTAACATGTTCTAGTCTACCATGCCGATAAATTTGAAGACTCAGCAAGTAAGAAGAAGATGTAGTATTATTAAATAATTAGGAGGGTACAACGGTCATTACATTATTAACTTGAAAAGCCATCAGACATGTAACTTTTCCTACATACATCCATTCTTAGTAAGTACAAATTATATCACTCTCAAATACTAGCCTAAAACCCATTCTTACTCAACAAAGATCCGGAAACAAGATTCTTGCGAATGTCCGGTACATGTAAACATTGTTG